TTTTCCTATACACACAGAATAAACAGATCATTTCTCATAACGGTCTGCAGTGTCGGGTGCAGTGACCTCGACTTCTTCACAGCGCACTGCGATGAGAAAACAGTGGACTGACTATTAGGAAGACTTGGGACATTTTATGAGCTTGAACACAAAAAGTAAATCAATTTATTGACATATTTTGAAGTATAAATACAAAGTGTGAGATGCATATTTCAGACACATGCACATTATTCCAAAGTGGTTGGTTGACTATGGGAATTGGTTGTGAATTCAGTATTCATAAACATTCAATGCCTCCCATATTTAGAGCACCATGTAGGTCTTGATGCTGCAGTTGCATCATCCAACCAGCAGGGTTCCTCTAGCACTGAGACTCAGCGTAGCCTTCATCCACAGGGGGCCTCTTTGTGAGGTCGCTGTAACCGTTTTCATCCTCTGAGTCCTGGACAGACCAGAAAAACCTGACAGTCAGAAGACGCTCCACACAGATACAGACACAGACACACATGCACGCGTACACACAAACATACACATACACACACAGACACAGACACAGACATACTCAAATAGATCCAGACACAAATCAACTTCCTTGGACAAATCAATATTTTATAAACCCTCAAGCATGCGTGTACAATTAAATGTGAAACAGATCCAGCAGACATGTCTCATTTAGTTATTCATGGATTGGATAGTCTGGTGTAATAATGTTCTGTACTGTACCATGAGATATAGGTCACAACAGCTGGTCTTCTTTGCTTTGCCCGCTGGTGGGTGGATGCCGTACTCCTCCCTGGTGGAAACAGAGCGGGCAGTTTAGAGAGTTAGTCTTGACAATAATGAAACTCACTGTTAACCTGAATAGACTCAGAACGGAGGCTCATGAAGTAAAAAACTAAATTTGAATGATTTAAAAGGTTTCTGAAAAGAAATGAACAGATCAGGTGTGTGTATGTAAAAAATTTTCAATGAATGTACGTTTATCATTTTACAGTCGTATGGGTTGATGGATGGATGTTAGCTCGTCTTTATGTTTGTTTGTATGAAATCCATTTTCAATAAACGTATTTTTGGACGTTTTAAAATGTCTGTGTTTTGATGGATGTTTGTATGATTACATTATTTTCAACAGGTATTTATGTTATTGGTTTTTTTTCAGGATAATACTTGTGGGGATAAGACTTGTGTAAATCAGTGTACTTCTAGTGATGAAAGATACAACAGAAAAGTACTTGGTCTTTTTCAATTCTGTGATTTTTTGAAATTTTCTAAATCCTTTTTTTTTTCGACATTGGTATAAAAAGCCATACATACATACATGAATGCAATTATGATTTTTTTTTTCTTTTAAAAGCCCTTATTGGCCAGTATAACAACACTGACTATACAAATAAACTATATGCAAAATAATGAATAAATAATATAAACTTAAATTGAATAAACCTTGTTATATAGGCACATATGGGTGATAAAATTAGCCGATACCGATAGTCACATGATATGCTAATATCGGCCAGCCTATTAATCAGTAGGGCTCTAATATTTACACAAATCTGTAAAATATGTTCTGTTTAAAAAAGACTTGACTTCCATTTGCATTCAATAGAGTAAAGCCATTGTTGTTTTGGAAAATCGCAGATAAAGATCAAAAAGTTTAAAGTGAGCAAAGAGATTTTGAGCACGTTTTGCTGCGTAATTAAAAGAGTGGAAGAATGTCTGAAATAAACAAGAAGAAATGCATAAATAATGCAGCCACAGTGTGCTCTAAACAAACTATGATGAACGGACTGTTGTGAATAATTAAAAGACTAAATCAATGTGCCTGAACTGGAGCTGGAGCTCATTTGATATTTCCGTCCATGTACTTTATGAAAGCCGTTAAACATGTATACCAAAGGGCCGCTGGCTTGTTCTACATCAGTCACAAGCACAAATACCAGCTCCAATGTGACTCACACCACAGGGAGCCACGCTGCAACACTATAAACCAGCCTGTAGATCTGCTCACTACTTGTTTATGTGCTGGGCTCCGTACTGAAAAGATAACATTTTTACAACAAGAAAACCAAACCTTTAATTCTAAATTTGTATTCAGCCTCCCTCAGATTAAAAATGAAGAAGTTTATTCATAACCATCAGAGCCTGCGATGACTATCATTACCCCCAGGAGACCCACAGCAGTGATTGGTTGAATAAATCTACTCACCCCTCCGTGACCTCTATGGGCGATCTGTAGCCCTTTGATTGGTTACGCTGTTTCTTGGGGCAGAGCATCCGCCCAATCAGAATGAGGGTGATGACGGCCGAGGGGAGGAGGATGAAAGCCAGCAGGACAGCAACATCGGAGAAGCGAACGCTGGGCGCTGTGAGAAAGGAGGATGTGAGGTCATTAGACACATATTACCAGGCGGTTTATGACCGCACACTCAGATGATGTCATGGCGCTCGTAAAAAAACTGAGGTAGTGCACGCTGTAATACGCTTTAAAGCTGTTCACATAATGGCATCCCAGCTATTAATATGAAAAAAAATACTTTTTTTTGCCGTGTCTTCAAGATAATATCAGTTTCATGCAAAGTTTTTACAATATGTATAATTATACAAAATCTAATCTGAAATAAAACCTGGATTTCCCTTGTGCACCTGAGAATTTTACCTAAGAAATCAAATAAACCGATTGGAAGAACGAGAAAAAATGACATAAGTCTGTTACATGGGCCTTGATTGGTTCGTTGGCTTTCATTATGCTTAAGAGAGGGTATGAGAAACATCGTGTTTGCCGGAAGAACCGTCACCGTGAGGCGGAGCAGTCAGGATCTTTTTGGAGAAGAAGGAGCTTTTCCTTTAAAGAGCCCATATTATGCCCTTTTTGGGGTTCATATATTTAATCTATGTAACTACTAAAGTATGTTCACAATAGCTAAAGTTTGAAAAAAGTGTATGTTTTCATGAACTGCCGCTCCATATATCGGCTCGCTTCTGACTCTCTCTAAGGCTCTGAAGTGCCCACGTTCAGAGTCCCCACGTGTGCCAAGTCTGAACTGATTGGTCGGCCTGTTAGCTCTGCCGTAATTGGTCAGTTGCTCAGCACGGTTCTCAGAAATGTCCCGCCCCTTTTACCATATTGGGAATGCAGCCACTTTGGCTCCGTCTGAGGGGAGCATAAACATTAGCACCTTAGCACTACTGTGCTACCGCAGGCTACGGCATATCGTGGCCGTGCTACAGAAGTTAATGGACCTGCAACATGAGCTGCTGGGCTTGCCACAACGAGCCAATGGGCTTAGATCAGTGATGTCACACTGACAAGACGTCACACTGACAAATTTTTATCGAGGGGGGCTAGAACCGAGCGTTACATGCAGCTAATGCTACAGGTAACAGGAGGACGTAGGAGAAGCAGCGTTTCCGCAGTAGATGTGCCTAAACATGCACAGGACACATGAAAAACACACCAAAGAGCATATAAAACCAGAAAAAGCATAATATGGGACCTTTAAGCAAATATTATTGTTGACCAGCAGAGTAGGAGCCGGATTTAAGTTTAATTTATGTGCATCATCGGTTGCATTTTATTTGTTTTTTTATGTGCCCTCCGCAGGTGGTGAAGTCTGTGAGTTTGTCTGGGGAGCGCTGCTGGGGGGGAAGACGGGTCACAGCGCATACCGTCATTGACCACAGGCTCAGAAGAGCAGTCATGTCAAACGTACAATTTGTCGAATTTTTATAGAACGTTTACATTAAAATATCTAAATTAATTCAAAAACAGTCTAAACCTATGTTATATTTTTTTTCTTAAGTACTTACATTACCTCAAATATTTCCAACAGTTTTCAAAGACAGAGAAATCCTTCATTTTATAGTTGTAACAGGATGTGTCTTGTCGAAGCAGCCGCCATGACAGACACGACATGTTTATCGTTGCCGTGGAAACAACGGATGGTACGTCAAAGACCGCTACATTCACACATGGGTCAATGACGTGACGCTCATTTTTTTATGTCCATAAGGTTTAGTTAACTTTTAAAGTTTTAAAATTTAAAAATAAATGCACAAATGACATGCTTTCATCCTTTGTTTTGAGGACCTAGTCTAAAATTTATATTTATTATACATTTTTAGAGAATAATTGGGGTATTTAGGCAAAAATGTCTAAGTGGTGTAACCGTTGAAACTTTGTACCAAAGAATTAAACTTCCTTTAAAAAGGTTAAATTTTCATATAACACCCTATGAACTAGCCTGGCATAATCTTACAATAGAACTGTTCAATATTAAACAAAAGTAATGGAACATCATTGTTCTTATTATTATAATTATTTTAGGGAAATCGTGTCACCCAGTCAAGTACCAAATTGTCAACATGGTGTAACCACCATTGAAGGAGCCATTTTGTTAATATATTCATCATATCATGTGACAAGAAATTATATCACAAAGACGAACCCCTGATGGTCCTAACTGCTGCATGCCATGTTTAGCAACTCTCTTTAAAACATGAGATAATTTGACATTTTAAGGGGCGTGGTCAGATATGTCAAATGGTATGACCTCAGAAAAACATTAACAATTTATGATAATTATAAAAATGTGTATTCACTTTGAAAATTAGATTTGAAATGTTCACACCAGGGAATGTGCTTACATAGGTCTCAATGATAATGCCTGTCAAATTTGATTTGAAGTGGAAATGTCAAATGGTGTAAGCGGTTACACTATTTGACTTTTATGACAAGTCTTTCTGTTAGAGGCCACTTTTGTCAAATATCAGTATTTTTTTATGTTGATTAAAGTGGTGATTCATCCACAGCCTTATTACCAAGGGTCTAGGACAAAATGCCCTGGCATTTTGTAAATGTTTAGCTTCAAATTGCATATTTGTGTTCCATTTACTTACATTTATAGAGGTGCACTATGTAGTTTTGGTAGAGAAATTTGAAAGTTGGAGAAATTTACAGATTATGTGGTATATGTCCATCATAACTCTAAACACAAACTGTCCTCAGATGAAAATTTGGTCTCTGTGACACTGTTTGAAGATAAAATGCTACTGGAGAAGTTATGGTGGGGGGCCCACAACAGTGAAAGCGTAACTCTCCTGGTAACTTTATATCGCCAAACAGTGTTCCAGGGACCCATTTTATACTTTGAATAAAGTTTGTGTGTTCAGTTCAGAAAATATATCAAAGAATTGTTTCACTTCTCCAACTTTCAAATTTCACCACCAAATCTACATAGTGCACCTTTAAACATGTATAATCTAATACATGTATGTATGCTGTAATATTGGCACCTTTGCATTTTAGATGTGTCGGCTATTAGGGGCCATGTGGTAGGGTAGGTAGTATCAGCATGCCACTACCTGGAGCTTGCTTGCCAAAGTCTGGTACTATAGAAGGTGGCAGTGCTGTGATGGCCATGATGTAAAGAAGGAGAGATGTAAAGTGTTGCCTGTGGGTATGTTATCCTTTGATTAGGGCACAAGTACCTTGAGTTTATTCCAAATACTGAAGAAATGAATTCCCCCTGAAGATTTTGGTCAGATGTTGTAATTTACTTAAGATATGAATTAATTAAGGGTGCACCGATCCTGACTAAGACAGCTAGATCAGGTATCAGTAAGAATTTGCCGATCTATGAGACCCATCCAAAAGGCTGATCTATTCTCTTCAGTTTTATACTATTCTGTGTTTAAGACAAATGTGCTACATTACTGTCATCAGCGTACTGGTATTCTGTGCACTTTGGAAGGTGGAGCAAACATTAAATGGAGGAAGCTGACAACAATTTCTTCAAGAAACAATGGCCTTTGACTGTAGAAGCAGTATGGTCAGTTGGTGTAACTGGTTTGCGTCAATTGGTGTAACCAGTATTTCTCATAAAAATATAATAAAATACAGGAAAATTAAAGTTGAATAAAAGTAGTCCTCTATTGCAGTGAAATAACATGTTTTTTAACAATTTTTACATAATTTGCCAAAAATTAATTAGAAAACAGAGGTGTTTACAGCTTTGTGGGTGTTTTATGTCATGTATGTTTGATGCACTGCTAAGAACATTTTCAAATAAAATGATTAAAACAAGAATGAAAATCATCAAATGTCTATGAAAGAAAAACCAGCCAATGTCCATCTGTACTCAGAATGTGTGAAACTTGTATTTAACCGTACATACTCCTCTTAGAACAGAAACACAAGGTTAAATCTGACGTCAAGCTGGCAGGACTTTTCTAGAAGATGAATGTTAGTGCTCAGAAATCAATGAGCAGCTTCTGACTCACATTTTCCCATCTACAGTAAAGATGCTTAAATGGGGAAAGTGGCTGCTGCCTGGTAAAGTGTCTTTTTTTGTCTTTGATGGTGGCTACAGAGCCAAACTGTGACATCATCTGGAGAGCTGGAGACCGGGTCAGAGCCAGCCACCAGCTCCGTAATCAGATAAAGACGGTATCCTTAAATGTCAAAAACTATTGATGAAGCAGCTTAAGAATCTCTGTCATCATTTGTCTTATATTTGTTGAATAATGATTTGCTTTGAAGACAAAATAAATAAATTAACTGTTTCAGGCAGAGACTGAAATTAGGGATTTGACTGACGCCAGCTTAAGATAAATAAGGAGGATTTTGAGCGACACATCTCCCAACGCTACTCAAAAGGTGTCCTAGACTGACATCATTAATGGTGAAAGTGATGATAATAGATCTCCTTTAAATACGTTTTACTTGCTTCTTCAATGGAAGGTATTTAATAGAGTCACACATGATTAGATAAAGAAATTCAGACATGATGTAAACAAATAGGCCACACTCTTACCCTTTGGTGTGACACTGAGGACAGTGTGTGAATTCGGCGAGCCGTGGACGTCCGGAGGGTTCCTGACTGAGCATGTGTACGTCCCGTTGTCTTTCAATGTGGCGTTGATCAGAGAGATGGAGGCTTCCCCACGTGCCGGGCTTCCCTGCCATTTGATACGACCCATAAACTGACCCTCGAGTGGAGGGAACGAGCTTGAGGAGAAGTGGAAAAACTGGAGGGAGACAAGGAAAGAGAAAGATGTTATCCATTCAGAATATCAAACGGAAACGTAAAAAGGAGCACGTTAAGGGTCTGAAGCCTCCGACAGAATGCGTGATTTTTGAAATCTTGTAAGTTTATTGGAAGCCACACTGTGCAGGAAGGATCTCATGATGTTGGGTACAACATGCGTGTACACTGTGGGTTGAGGAACCCAGTGAAGCTTAGGCTGCGAGGCGAGTCAAAACAGCACAATTAGCATCATTAGCATCGTCAGAGTTGCAAATCCCTTCCACATTTTGTCCTTCTTGGTGCCGTCATGATAACTTCTGGAAAACAAGTCGTACAAACAAGACTTCTGTTGCTACATCTCCACAAGGTCTTGAACTTTGTTGCAATCCCTCAACTTTCTTTTTGGGTAACCCAAAATGTTACAGTCTGAACCCGGCATAACCAGGAAAAGCAACGCGTGAAACCGTAACTGAATGGCAGATTTCCTATTCAAACGGCGAATAAAAAGACAAGTCACTTCTAAATCTAGCAGATCATTTTGTGAGGAGAAGAGTCTGAAACAACAGGTGGTGGGACAGATGGTAGTGGGACGAGTTCTTTTGGCAATATTGTCAGAGGCAAAGTAAGAGGGCTCTCTGTTCAGACTATCTGAAGATAGATCTCATCGAGCACCAGGAAAAGAAATCCACATTCCAGCTCGATGAGAAAATGTGAACTTCAGGTGTCTGAATAACTCTTTTTTTTAAATCGTTTAGTTTAAGACTTACAACAGAAGTTTGTTCAATAACAGCTTCCTTCCTCCCACTCTCCAAAAACATGACATCCAGAGGACAAGTTTGTTGTGTGTGTAGGAGGAGAAATTTTAAGTTTATGTTTTACGTAGCAGTGTAAACTATGAGTGTAGAGTTTTTGTTTTAAATACATTTCATGACACTCTGGTTAGTCATCATCTGTGACTTGGAAATCGGTGAAATGGAGGCATATCGGAGGATTACATTACAAAAAAACAAATAGACCGATAGGTGTACGACCATTTGTACAATGTATTGTACCCCTTCTTTGGTTTTGACTTTCGACTCATCTTAAAGCTTCTGTTTGTGTTGATTTTGGCGCCCCCTGTGGACAAAGTTGTACATTTAAATCTCTTTGCCGATCTTGTCCTCTACATCATAAGTAGTTTCTTTCTGACAGAATATATCATCCTTTTAAGAGTCAAACATGTCAGTCATCAGAAATCTTAGTGTTGTGGAAAATGTAAATGAAGGTAATCAAACCTTTAGAAACTAAACCGGCAGCAGCAGTTACAAGAGTAAAAAAAATGACAATACAGAAACGATCATGCTTCTTCTTGACGGTCATGTTTGCCTTTAGAGGTCATATGAAGACATCACTATTAACCCAGTCTGTTTCATAACCAGTTAAAAACTCTTTACAGGAGCTTTGAATTAATGAAAGAAATGTGACAGAAGCCCTTTTCAGACTGCAAAAGCGCCGTAACTAAGCTCCGCCTTCGTCACGTCTTTGTACATTCATATTGATTCTGCAATGGCGTGATGTTGGAGTCCCAGTCTGTGAAGTCACACACCTGAAACTGCCTCTCCTCTGTTACTACCTCCAAAGAGGTGGGATCTCTTCGTCCGCCCATTACTCCTGATTCAGACATTCAGATTGAAGGCGACATGTCAAATATCGTGGCTTGAAACGTCAGTCTGAATAGAGCTAGAGAACAAAGAGAACAAGCATATTTTCTAGATTTAAAAGGATCCAACTTGTATCTAGATCTGACAAAAAACTTGCACTTGAAATAAGAAAAAAAAATAAGAAAAAGGCAAAGTTACCAGCGAGCTCTTTCATGACTCTTCCAATCGACATCATGTTCAGAGCTGCTCGAGTCGGATAAGGAACATTAAGACATCAAGAGGCTTTCAGATGAGTCGTTAGATAAGATCAGAGCTGCTTGGCCTTTATCTGCAGCCTCAGAGCAGTGCAGAAGAGAGATATTGATTTCTGTTAAAAACATCATGGATGTTTTTGATATAAGGCTTTTGATGCAGCGTTCATATAAGACCTGAAGGACCAAACACGCTGATGACATGACAACAGCTCCTGAAGTGAAAAAGAGGACAGCTTCTTCAGAACCTTGTGATGAAGGCTCTAGGATGTTTGTCCAAATTCAGAACCATTGGTAGCACAAGGTAAACCAGTATTATTCAGGGCATTTCACTATGACTATCTATTGGTGTCTACAGATTATCAGATAAACACCTCTGTTACTCCTCGCGTGCAATGAGTAACGCACGGATAAGGAATGGCGGTGTGACATTATCATCATTATGCCCCTGATCTGCCTCCAGAGGTAGAAACAGAGGCGTAATGGAGGATGACTGTAGCATTGGAGACGTCAGGACAGAACAAGCAGCAACAGTCTTGAAAAATGAAGCCAATGCAGAAGTGCAAAATCCTGCAGTTTGTGGAGTGTGCACTTGAGGCTGGCTGCAGGAACCTGCCTCAGCTCAAGGTCTGTAGTTAGGTTGACTGAAAGTTAGGGTGAGACAGGATTTCCATCATGGCGGCTGCTGCCGATGAGCCTCCGGAGCCCCCTGCAGGAACAGATGGTTGACGTCACTCAGGCTTCATCCGTTAATATTTACAGTGTACAGAATAGAGATGTTCCTGCTGTGTTCTCACACATCATGTCTCTAGTGCTTCCATAGTGCAATTTCAATTCACAGAATTATTGGTAAACCAATAATTATCCATTAAAAATGCAATGTGTGGGTACAATGGCGAGACTTTGTTAAGGCCCTGTTGCGGGACCGCAACCTGTACAGGGCTCAAGTAACAATATACAGAGCTTGTGATATGACTTTATGACTTTTTACACTTCTACATGTGGCTGCAGGAGCTGGGGATCAAACCCTGACCTTCCAAACGAGAGGCGACTGACTACCACTGAGCCACTGCAGCATAAAGGGCTATCGTAATTTTTCACCCTTTTTTTAAGTTGTCCGAGTCCTGTGCGGTCATATGCAGTTAATAAATCATTTTAATTTTGGCATTCATATAAATTATAACAAATATAAGAAAGCTAAAGTATGATCTTAATTTAATTAATTCATCACTTTGTACGGGTCAAAATGTTCCCTCACTTCCCTAAAAGGTGGCCAGAAATACTAAACATGTCTGCCTTGAGTCAAGAGAGTATAGTTACTTTCTAGGTTTACACACTACAAAACGTCAACGTGGGTAAATCTACGGCCCAGAATCAGGTGCACAAACACAGACAATGATTCATTTTTATGGTTGAACCACAGTGTGTCTATCAGCTGGATGTTTATGACACTGATTGTAGGCATGGCAGAGATAAACAGGGTTATCTCTCTCTGCACTGGTATTCATCCAATTTGAGGACTGGACAGCCGCTTGAAGTCAGTGACCACAGAAGAGTCTCCTGGGTCTGGAAACAAACCTTACAGCAAATGAACCCTTTAAACTTGTGGGGAAAAAAAGCTGCGACACAACAGAGAAGGATTGCTTTGAAATGTGGCCACATACTCCATAAATCTATTCGATCATTTGGACAAAAGCTTCCAGTGACTCGACAAACGTAAAAAAAAAAAAAAACAGTGCCCAGATCATCATAAAAAGATTTATTTTTAGCATTATTCAGCTAAATTCAATTGCCAAATCCTCCAATTACCATCAGCTCCCACCGATATTTGATTGAACATCCAGCTTCTCGTCTCCAATCTGCAAAATTAATTCTCATCAGGAGCGGGGGTAATTATGCAAGCCACTGAAGCACTGCAGCAATTCAGACTGACACTAAAGCTTTGGCAGCAAAATGATATTTTCTGATGGAGCTTTTCACATGCTTATTCATGGTCTTTCTCGCCGTGATATACGGCCGGGGACACACAGACCAACAAAGCAGCCAAAACGCTAATGAAAGTGGATGGAAAGTAAACGAAGGCTTAGAATTAAAAAAATTAGAAATTCAAGACTTAGTTCCATCTGTAGACCAAATCAGGAAAAGTGCCACACTTTATTTATCCGTTATAAAGAGAACAAAAAAGTTAGGCTGGGTTTAAAATATGTGCATGCACTGGTGTGGCTTAGCTTCAGGTAGCATGTTGACACACCTTTCACAAATACCTGCTAAGCTTTGTGAGGTAATAACACGCTTTATGCTGACTGAACCACACGTGTAACACTCTGCAACACCCTCCCAGGAAGTTCTCCTCTCCACCTCCTCCCACTACATACTTTAAAAAGTAGACAACTTAAGATGTTAATGACTAAACCAACAGCACTCCATATCAGCGGAGCCACAAAACATTAGCCTCCACTTAACTCTGAGTGCTCCTATAGGAAATGATGCCATATAGGGTTGCAGCTACCACACTATGGATTCCCCATGTCCAAATGCAATTACATAGAACCGCACTGGAGGGCTATCTTCAAACAAATGGTACAAATGGAACTGCTTAAATTATGCGGTGGACTTTTAGTGGATTGGTCACTGAAACTGGACCCGGAGCGTGCAGGGTTAGAGGACTGAGTGCAGTTATGGGTCGAAAGAGACATCTGAATGCATTTTGAACAAGACCACCTAATCCACAACATAGGAAAGGGCTATTATGGTAACTGACCAGCTGGGGTTTCCTGGGGAGGTCACGGAAAGACACAAGAGCTGTGCTGAAATGTGAGTGGGTAAAAAAAAACTGGGAAATTCCCGAAGAGAGAGGCTGGTAAATAAAACTATCTGGTGTTATTAATGAGGCTAACCTTCATGCTGCAGGTGCACATGTAGATATTTATGAGGTAAGCTACAATGCAAATAAGCCAACCACATACTCAAATAAGCAATGGAGGTCACATACTTCTAAACGGTAGCCTGACTGAGGCCCCGTGTCCACCTTACCTGAGAAGAAAAGTGCTGCACGTCCCTCCTGTCTCTACGCTGTATTTACTTTTCCTGTAAAATGTTTCAAATGTCTTATGACCCATTTACCAATTTTTGTGACTAATTTAAAAGCTTTGTTGAAGCTAAAGGTCCAATCAAATTCATCCCAGCGTTATGGTGCGCCTTCTATCTTGTGACTGTACCTCACAGCGGGAGACTATCACAGTCAGTCATGTGTTCTTCAACAGAATCACAAAATTGACAAAAACAATAATTATGTGCGCAGAGATCACAACAGTTGAGTGCATGCAGTCTGTGGCCGTGCACTAATCACAGGGAATAAACGTCCCCACCCTTCCCACTCACTCGAGGTGTATTCTCCGGCTGCGTTCTAGCATCATCTCAAGTCAGAGTGATAAAGTTGGCTGTTTGGCTCACCCAGAAAACATCCGGCGTTTTGTGAAAGTGTGAAAGCAGCTTATGAGACATTTCAACCTTTCTTATAAACGTCTACTCACTGTTTGTGGCGGCCCTCCACTCTGGGGCCTGTAAGACCAGTCCACGGTCATCTTACTGGTCGGCCTACTGGTTGAAGTGAAAGTGCAGGACAATGTGACGGTCTCCCCTCTGGATGCATGGAGCTCTGGGGGGGTCATCACTGAGATGGAGGAGACCGAGGAAGGAGCTGCAGGAGAAATGGACAGAAGACACAGAGGACAGTGGTGAACAAATGGAAAAAGAAGAATATAATATGAGGGGGTTTAAACATTTAGAAGAAGAATGGGGAAAAGAAAGTGTGCTGTAGGCGAGGCAGAGAAAAAGGAGGTGCTGGTTATGAATGACATTTTAAACACATACTGTAAGCAGAAAAACAACCTGAAGCATCAATAAAAGCAGCCACCTTGTGTTTACACTAAAGTGCCAGCACAGCAGATTCCTTCAGGTATACACTGGAGTGAGAAGCATACTGATAGAAGTTTCTCACCAGCCTGTCTTGTTGTATTTGACAGGTCTGCTCCACATCTGTCTATCGGGGCGGGGGGAGAGGGGGGTCTTTCCACTACATGTAAAGCTATGTGTCTGTAGATGCTCGCTCATTGTTAGCCCTTTATTCAGACTGCCAAGGGAGGCCCGTCAGATCCCTGGGAGAGAGTCTGACTGTAGCCAAGAACACAAACTGAACACTGACAGCTTTTTTTAAAGGGGACATATTATGAAAAATCCACTTGTACAGTGTTTTTGAACATATATTTGGGTAACCTGAGTGTCTACTGAGCCACAAAATTTAAAATAAACCCATCCAGTCCTTTGTTTGTGGTCTGCGTGAGTCTTACAACACAGAGAAAATTGCTCCGTTTCAAATTAGCTCCCCTTGTGATGTCACAGTGGGATTCTGGTAAAAAAAAAATCCCCTCCCCTCCCCTGGTATCTCCACTCATGGACTCCACCCCCAGCCTAGAGCAAAACTTTTGTGCAGGTCCACCATTTTTATTCTCGCTACAGAGGAGTGATGTCTACCGGGAAGACTCAGGGGGGTTCATTGCATTTAAAGAGACACACACACCAAAACGGAGCGTTCTGAGAGAGCTGGTTTATACAGGGTCACAAACCTCCTCTGGTGCTTGATTCATGTTATATTTTGACCAAAGCACAGCACAGATGTTTCATTTAGACCACAGGGGACTGTTTGAAAAGATGGAAAGGGGGATAATATGTCCCCCGACAGCAGTTCCAGGACAATCGAATAACCAACACTCTATAAACACATATCTGTATTTTAACGCTGAATCTGGAAGCACAGTAAGTGATTTTATAGTTGTTCTGGTTTCTCTTTGAGGTCTGTGTGCAGCCTGAGCACAGCTTGAATGGGCCTTTGGCTGAATGCTGGAAAACAGTATGTGGAGGGTAAAAGAGATGAAACACATTGGGTCAAAATACACTTCCCCCAACACATGATATAATAAAACCTCGGTTTAGCTTTTAATTCATCTCTATTAGTAAAGGAACTTTGGCCCCGAAAAGTTGAGATACCCTTACCTGAGGAAGAACAAAGCAAGACCATATTTTTTCATAGCTTCAATATGTCTAGTTGGATGGTTGTATAAAAATGTTTTACTGCAAAACTCTGGGTTTTGTTTTTTGGTTGTTTTTTGCATCTGTTGTTTGTTGCACCTTTTCAGTTTTTTGTCAAAAACAGAAAAGAGTGAAAATGAGGGCTTCTCTGAAAGGGACAGCTCCTGCCTGATCACATGTTTCTCTGGAAATCAAGATCAGCATGTCACCGAATCTGGACTGGATGTAGGTAGTTATTTATTAAAGGTAAGAAAAGTTTTTATCAATACCATTTTCAATTGTTGAAATATACACTCTTAAACACACCTGTAGTTTAGGAGAATATTGAAAATTGAAACAAACATTGAAACGGTATGTAGGATATCAAAGTCTGTCATTTTTTAGGTAAGAACACCAATCATCAAAATCGTTTTTATCTTCTTCTATAGTCAGATATCTCCATGAGTAGATGTCCTCTCTTTGCTTATACTCCACTGTAGGCTCTCATGTTGCTCGTCAGACACAGAAAAGAAGGTCTAGATGCAAATCTCCTCGTTTCTTATCCAAATAGAAACTTTCTCTACAGAAAAAAGACCAGAAAAAGTGACTTTAATGGCTTAACTGTTTTAAGATGATAACCAATCAGTCCAAGGTTTACTAACAAACTGACAATGAGATGATTTCATCAATGGGTATTGTTAGTTATCCTAGCTATGTGATAACAGAAAGTTGTACTAGTGACACTAGTAGATAAAGAACGATGGATCAATTTACCAACTCAACTGTGAAGTGCGCATGTCCAGTAGTCACATCGGAGGTCTTGAAGCTACCTGAAAGTTGCAACTTTTGTGTTGTTCGATGTAAAACAAAAACCACAAGTCTCATAAAGATGTTCAGACGACAGGCAGCGCTGTATCCATCACAGACACATCAGCATGTTGCTCGAGGCAGACGCTCAATGACAGACTTTAAATGAGTGCAATTCCTGCTGTAATCTTCACCTCGTCCAGACCGTCTTTAACGCTGAGGCCTCATAAACGAAACCGTTAACGGCGAGGATGAGCCGCTGACGGTTTACATTTTTCTATTTTAAATGTTTCTTTTTGAGGGACTTTTAATTTGCCTTCATTTTAGAGATAGGACAGTGGAAAGTCAGAAATCGGGGAGAGGTGGCACAGTGGTTAGTGGGCGTGCCCCATGTAGGGAAGCTGTAGTCTTCCAAGCGGGCGGCCCAGGTTCAAATCCGACCTGTTGCTCCTTTCCTGCATGTCATTCCCTACTCTCTGTCTCCCTGATTTCCAACTCTATCCACTGTCCTAAGTGGACACTGCCACTGTCCTCTCAAATAAAGGCACAAAAAGCCTAAAAATAAATCCACCATAGTTCACTTATGTGCAGCTCCACATGCAGCTTGCAGGGTGAAGTGGTGTGTGAGTCTCAGGCAGCTCAACACGCCGTGCTTTTTTTAAATTAGAAGTTACAATCACGAGGCTTCTCATGTAGACAAACATTACTTTGAACATCGTTAGAAATGGATGGCGTTTAAATAACATAGTTGTGTTAATGTGCAAGCCAGAAGTGTAGAAACATGTCGCTCCACCTTTCCTCCTCTTACTCCATGTGTGTGTCACAGCCCTCCATTTCATCCAATTACTTGTTTTCTTTTTACAATGGATGAAACTAAGGGGGAGAAAAAAAACACCCAGTGGGTAAATAATCTGAAACAAAATCCCCCCCAAAAAAACACGATAAGAACAAAGTTTATCTTGCAACAAAAGGAGTTACGGAGCTATCCTGCGATCAGGCCGATTCATCTGCAAAGACCTCGGGGCGAGCAAGTCGACAACATGAACAAAGCTATCTGTACATAAAAGCAGAAATCACTCAGAGGAGCCCTGAAAGCTGAACCTTTCATGCACTTCAAGACATGATAGTGTCAATGTGGAAATTAGTGGCAGGGTCCAAATTGGCAGCTCATCATTGGTCGTGTTTTCACTTTATTATCTACAAGACGTCTGGATAAAAGTCAGACTGAAGACTATTTCATATCTGCACGGATCTCTCAGTGAGATGTCGACTCGCCTATATTTGGATACTGTGCTCTAACTTAAAATAGTGTAAGGAAAACCATAATGATACTAATGTGCTCCAACGTTTCCATGCTGCCTGTGTGCCGAACCTAACCAGATAAAAGCACAGCAGGCATTCCAGTATGGGTGTCTCATTCCCATTCCCTCAATAACAGGTCAAAAGCTTTAAGAGAAAAGCAAACATCATGGCCACAGTTCAGAGGAAAACACTTGGCAAACACACTGCACTTATAGGAGTCACAATCCCTCAAAGCCTGTCACTATTAAAGGCCTCTTTGTCGCCTATGCACTTTTTACCCATTTGATTTCCAACTTAGTTAAATCATGATTGAGGAGCATTTTGAATGGAAATGCACCTGAGGCTGAGTTACCTTTAACTTCTTTACCTTGTGTGTATTCTCATGGCTCTGTCTGTTCTTTGTCCTGTTTACTGCAGCTGAAATATGAACTGGTTTCGCTGTTCCTCAAGCAGGGAGACAGTTTCAGTCTGAAAATAACAAGTGGCAGCCTTATACCACAGCTCATGTTTACAGAGCTGTTTCTGTGTTTCAGGAGGTTAGACCTGTCACCTGGCACTTTTACATACGGAGAGTTTAATTACACGTAAGTTCACGCGACAGGAAAATGTATTTGATGCGTCACATTTCGACATTTACAGATAAAAACGACCAGCAGACTACAACAGCAGCCGCAGACGAGGCTCCTCTCTGTTTAAAGAGCAGCTCTGGGCCTGTTTTACTCACCCAAAAAGGAGACGGAACACAGCAGCAACACGACATCCAGAGCCGGATTCCTTTGGCACAGTCGACGCATTTTTAAGATGTGAAAGCGGGTTCACTCAGACCAAACAACTAAAAAAAAAAAGGGGGGTTCAAGTTCTGTCAAAGCCTTGGTACAGTTCCGTCCATAGTCTATGTTTTCATGACTCAGAGTCTCCGGGGCGGCTGCAGACGATCCTACCTGACAAACAGGTGTTTCAGGAAGTGGAGCTGTTGGGAACACTGGGAGTAAAACAACGCGTTTTTTTTTTTTTTTTACGTTATGCCTGAATTATTTTGCAAGAAGTGAAACACCCTGACGAAAGTATTTGAAAAGTAAGGATTTAAATCGTCCAGCTGCTCGCAGCAGTGAGCTGTGGGTAAATGATTAAACTGAAGGGATGCACCTCTCCCACATTTCTACCAACTGAGTCACCTTTTTTAAAATAAAATAAAAAGAAGTTGTAGGCCTACTTCCCAAATAACAATATCAGCCTATATCTAATTTTACTCAGTCTGTGTTCGGTTAACTTTCACGTTTTGTTTTTTACCAGTCCTTAACAAATGTACGGTGGATGGGAAGTGCCAAACAAAATTACAAAGTGCGAAAAACATTTGCAAAGCTTGAGGCAAATTCACATTTTGGAAAATACATTTTGAATTTATGAAACAAATTTACAGAAGCAAAACAGTTTTACACAAGACAAATACATTTACATTTTAAGAACCCCCCCATAGAATACACAACAACAAAGTCCATATAAAACCCAAACGATGCCAAAATAAAGCAGATGTAGAGAATACAAGTAATGTGAAGAATGTTGATTATGTACATTTATTCATATGATCACGCAGATGTATCTGAAAATGTGTGTGATTGTAGGAGGACTTATAGAGATAGATACAACTTTTCCTCCAGCTGTCGTCACTCAATCTTTAATGACAGCTGGTGTGCATCAATTGTGCAATGTGAAAAAAACATGTATTTGAATGCAATCCATCCAGAGGGCTGCATCATTAAATCCCCAGATGACACAGCGACCCTGAGCTTAATGCACAGAGACAGCCGTCCTTCTCATTATCACTCTGAGGTATCTTTTTTTAAATCCTGTGGGAGAATCTGAAGTTTGCGCTACGCCCTGAAAGGCCAAATTTTGTCCTCATATCTTTGCACATTACAGGAAGCACTGGTCCGGATATTTTCATGTTTTTTTTTTTACCATGCAAAAACAAAAATGCTGCTTCTCTAACATGACTAAGTATAACTTCACAACTTTTCTCCAAGGTATTGATAAGATGCTGGTGGGGGGTTTGGGAAGGGGATAGTAACTTTGGAAAACCACTAGCCAGAGTTAGAAAAAAAGCTTAAAGGCAGGGTTTGTCATTTCCTCCAGATCCACTGTTTAAGATTTTGGTTGAAATTGAAGTGCATGTAAGTGAGGGACGTGACTTTTGAGGGAATACTATTTTTAAAATCATGCTAGATGTTGAAAATGACCAACCCTGCCTTTAATGACTAGCCCTGAATTCAAGTACTGCTGAAGATAATGTAGTAAGATAACATGAGTCATATGAGTTAATGATGAGTATCATGAGCATGAGACGTCCACACACATATTTTCAGTCGGCATACAGCTGAAATACTTAATATATTCTCTTTGCACATCCCCATCCCCTCATATGACCCTGGAGGCCTGAGGCCCAGCATGTCCCTTATCTCCCCAGCCAGCCTCTCTTTAAAAGCAGGGACGCTCTAGTGGGACTCCCCTTCTATTTGGAGGCACATTACTCTACTATCCCTGTCCCCGATCTCCTGTCTCGACTGTCCTAATTGTCTCTAATGAGAGAAGGTATTTGTTTTTCTAGCCAACGCTCTGGTGTAACGTTTTATCTCTCCCCTTCATGTTGATACAGAGTCCTTCTGAAGTGTATTCATGTCTTTATTGGGCCTGGATAGTCGGTCCCTTCCTGACATCCATCTGCTCTGCCAGGAGCGTTTCCTCCACCGTGACAACAGAGCTGCTGGAGTCTCGTTGCGTAACCTCGTTTCATTTTTATGACACATCAGAGGATGTCGAATAAGAGCAGCATCCTTTATCACTCAGGGCTTCTCTCTACCAAGACATCATTTGGAATTTTTTCTAATCAGAGCAAATAATCCTGTTTTTTTTTTCCTGAAAAAAAGTAAAGAATTAACTAATTTAATTTAGAGTTGTTGAGTTTGAGGGAAATGGTTATTCCTTTCCTTTTCTTATATATATATTCTTATACATAAGAAAAGGAAAGGAAACCTTATTTTTGGGTGGAGGTAGATTTGGTTTGACAGTGAGTGAGTCGTCCTCCTTTTAGAAACAAGCAACAGGACAGGACAAAACATGATAATGTGCCGAGATCAGTAAATAATAATAATAATAATATACTGAAATTGTAATCTAAAGCTGCTGTGTTATGTCTTGTTCATCTCACTGACGGCTGCTGGGACAAAGCTGTACTTGTATTGTTTAGTTTTACAGGATGTTACTTTACACCTACGGCCAGATGCAAGGAGCTGAAATTAATGCTATAAATATGAAATCATTTAAAGTGAACTCAAAGTTAAATCATTGCGTTAATATTCTACAGACGTACTCGTGTGAGAAATGGACAGAGCAGTGACATTCAGGTTTTGGTCCTGTTGACCCTTTTCCATAACAAAGAAACGTTTAGTCATTACAATCCCTTAGTTACATCTGACTTACTGTCTCACTAACTTATTGTCTTATTTTCATACTTCCTCTCTTCCTCATATACCTTCTTACTTACAAACAACTTTATTCCCATGCTTACTCACTTGCATACTTTTATGATATTTACTTACTTAGTTACTTACAAACGTACTAAATTATTCACTTTTTTTATTATCAAGCTAAATTACCTTCTTACTTAAGTACTTATTTCCCACACTGGCTTTGCATACTTTAACACTTACACTCACATCATGCGTACTTACATGCATACTTGGGGGCGACTGGCTCAGTTTGTCGGTAGCCTCTCAAGGTCGGGGGTTCGATCCCCAGCTCCTGCAGCCACATGTCCAACGTGTCCTTTGGCAAGACACTTACCCCAAGTTAACCCAAGCTGCTTCTTCAGCGGCGTATTAATTTGCATGAATTGGATTAGTTACTTCTGATGGTCACTTTACACAGCAGCCTCTAACCTCAGTGTGTGAATGTGTAGGTGTGACATGCGGTGTGAAAGCGCTTTGAGAAAAGCACAATACAAGCTCAAGTCCATTTACCATAGTCACTTGCAAATTTACTTTTTGACACATATCCAGCAAATTCTTCAAAGCCGGCACAGTCATGTACAGGCAGCGTCTTTGCCTGTTGTGCTTACCTGGCTGAAGTTGTAACCATCTCAGATTTCTTCTGCAAAAGGCCAAATTCAATACAGTTCTCATCGGATGCTTTTCTTCATACCAGATGAAGACGTAGCGTATGTGTACTGTATGTGTTAACAACATTATGTAACAGCTCCCACATTGGAGTAGGGGTATCGCTTTGTTTAGTTTAAATAGATGCTGAGTTGCTTTACTTTACGTGGGAGCATTCCCAACTTTTCATATCCACAGTGTTGTATTGTGTTAATAACTGTATCTGCTGTAGTTTGAGAGAGGCTCCTTATCTTTACTCGAGGATAATGTCTTGTGCCTCCTACCTGGGTACTCTCTCACAGTCACACACACATCATGACATTGTGTGTGTGAATACAGGAGCTCTCTGTCTAACTACAGTAGTGTGATCTCAGTTTCAGCCTGAAATCTCCCCCCCTCCACTTTCCCCTTTTTACTGGCGACTCGACTCAACAAGAGGCCTGTTCTTCTGTTGTCAACACTAGAGACAACGAATAAAGGTGATTTAAATTGTTGTAACCATTATCCACCGGCCAAAAAACGTGAGAGTCTTTCGCTCTTTTCTTCCATTTAAACACGTTTCATGCACTGAATACTTGAGAAAAGTTACCTGATACATTATAAACAACTCGATGTACGTTAAAGGTTCAATATGGGGAGAAAGTTTTCTCAGGGCTGCAACAAATCAGCCGGGCCAAACTCTACACTAAACATTCAGGCAAATAGAGCTGACTCTCCACCTTTGGGCAGAGCTGAGTAACTGTAGCATTGAGTGCATTTTGTCAGTGTGTGTATGTGTGTGTGTGTGTGTGTGTGTGTGTGTGTGTGTGTGTGTGTGTGTGTGTGTGTGTGTGTGTGGGAACAAGTAGAGAACTACTGCCATCACTATAAGTCACAGTGTGACATTCCCTCCTTCAGCTACATACCAATGAGGTGATTTATTTTCTCTTACTGCGACCCGTCATGCCAATCCTCTCTCTACTTGCTGTGTGCGAACATAAGTAAGTGTGTGTGAAGGAATTTAGTGTCACCACATACCTGTGCCAGGTCCAGCCTATCCTAAGGTGTGGAATGCAGATGGAGAGATCTGAAGCAACACAGAAACCAAGCAGAGAGAGAGACAGACGTCATTTCCTCTTTGGAAAAAAACGACAATCCTTTCTCTCGTTTGTAAGCGTGACAGACACACTTAAGCCCATGCTTTGTGACAATAATCTACATGACTAACATGTTGTGTGAGTGAATGAGCATGTAGGTGCAGTGGTTAGAGCTGTTTCCTCACAGTAAGGAGGTTCCTGGTTTGAATCCCCGTCTGACAGGAGCCTCTCTGTGTGGAGTTTGTATGTTCTTCCTGTGCATGTGTGGGTTCCCTCCGGCTTCCTCCCACAGTCCAAAGACATGCTCGTTAGGTTAATTGGTGACTCTAAAACGACCTCTAATTGTGAGTGTGGCTGGTTGTCTGTCTCTGTGATTGACTGGCGACCAGTCCAGGGTGTAACCCCGCCGCTCGACCAATGACAGCTGGGATCGGCTCCAGCCCCTTGCGACCCTGAACATGAAAAGCGGTAAAGATAATGGATGGAGAGTGAATGGCTAATAACATGAGTCCTATAGAAGGTTAAGATCCTGTAACTTTCACCTGATGTGCCGTTATCCACACACAGCAGTTGAATAAAGATGAATGCACAAACATCTGTCTGGACTCAGGTGGAAAATTCTGTATTAACAGTAATTGTGTTTCTTTGGTAACCTTGAGGAGTCAGAGGTATCAGGAGAAATCTGTGGTATCTGCTTTGTGTGCAAAAGCTGGTTTCTCAGAAGCAATAAATGTTTGATTTATTTCCTTTTTTTGTTGTCTCCCCTTCAGCATACTTTCCTAAATTTGCCTTTTGGCTCCCACCAGGGAACAGGCGTAAACTTGCTGCATGCAGATGTGGTTCTGTTTGTCTGGGTGCAGCGAGCGATGCCAGCGATGATAGCATAGTAACAAGTCAAGAAAACAGTCATGTCCTTCACTCAAAATAGAAAGTGCTCTGTGTGTGTTGCATTGCATTCTGGTCTATTCAGGATGGCGTCCCTGGGGGGGGGGGGGGAATGTTTTATCTGCTTTTTTCTTTCCTCAATAGATGTGCAAAAATCAGATGTTTGGATGTTCATATTCATTTCAGGGATGTTTTGTAAAAGTCTTACATCACACTAAATCCACAACATGATAATTTACCTTACGTAACTCTAACATCCAACATTTAAATGAACCAAGTGAGCCTCAAACAAGCTCTGATCATGTTATCGCCACACTCAAATTACATTGTTGAATTTGTGGAATTATTCTGGGGGCCATGTCTCTGCTCTGTGAGAGTAATTAAAATCATCTCTGGGGATTTAAACAGAATGATATTTAAGCTCCGCTGTTGTTAATCTTTTAGCTTGGATAAACAGGCCCGGCCTCCCAGCCTCCCTTCACTCCTTTATTAGCGGGAGTAAACTCTCTTCTGAACCAAACCACACGCTCAAACACACAATTTAGGTCTGTCAGTCAGTAACTGAAGCTACACCCACAGGGACTTTGATCAATGCACACAAACACACACACACAAACATACACACTAAGAGTAACATATTCACAGTCATGAACAATCACATCAAGCCACCACATACTGCCATCACAAAGACAGGCATTAGCATATTTGACCCTGCTACAAATTAAACAAAGATCCACTGCAGTCAGGCTAACAGATAAACGAGTAGGGAGCTCTGCAGACACACTGCCAGCACACCGCTGGAGGGAGTGCATTAAAGATAATGATGCATAATAAATGATAGATAACAAGATTTATCTCTTACATAATGGATGAGTTATGTACCTGTGCCAAGTTTTGTGTAATTATTTGTTTCATGGGTCAACTAGTGCCTGATCAGATCACCTCTGTGTGCGATACAACTTATGTAAGACCAGGTGTCAGAGATTTAAAAACGCATTTTTATTAGAAAATCTTTTTCTTTATAAAAGCTCTATAACAAAACACAGACAGGGACATTTTTTAAAGAACATGGTAAAATACTTCTGGCATTATCTAAAACAAACAAAAAATAGGAAAACATCTATAATCCAATAGCTCAGTATTACATCACAAGTACAAAAATCTGTCACATAAAGGAAGGAAGACAGGTATTACAATCACTTGTTAGTAGATGTGCTGCATTCACAGGCACATGGAGAGAGAGAGAGAGAGAGAGAGAGAGAAAAAAAAGGCTCTTGAGGACATTTTGCAAATCAAAGGGTTTTCAGATCTGACTGCACGCTCCCTCACAGCACTCCGGACAAGTGCGGGGATGTGGCCGCCCGCTGAATGATCACGTATTTGGCCGTCCGACTGAATGACAGCAACGTCACATGTACTCTTATTGATCCATGTAATCTGATGTGACATTAGCCCTCAGCCTATGGAAACAGGATGAAACCACTTTTAACAAATGCTTTGGTGCTTGCAATGATTATGATGGCGTGCATAACTGACTGAAATGCAGGACTGGAGGACTATAGAACCCAAAATGACTCTTAAATGTGAAGCTATTATATGACAGATAATCCAATGGTAAACCCTGATTTATACTTATGTATCGAATCTACACCTTGGCATACGCTGCATGTTCGCATAGCCCTGAACCTACACAGAAGCCTGACCCACAGACTGTAAATATTAATGTATTAAGCCTGAGTGACGTCAGCCATGTGTTCCTGCAGGGTGATCGGGAGGCTCATCAGCAGCAGCCACCATGATGGAAATCCTGTCCCAGTCTAACTTTCAGTCAACCTAACAATCCTGTCAGCTACCCGCCTAACTATGGATAGCATGTATCGTTTTCAAAATCAAAACAGAGTTGTTTTAAAAAATCACCTTCCTTACAGTGTATACCAGTTAGGACAATAACTAATCAGACCTATTTGTTTTTTTGTACTAGGCTGTAAGCATGTTTATTTATGCTGTAAAAACTGCTTGTTTGCCTGTGGTGTGTATGTGACTACTGGTGTTCCTGGAGTCGGTCTCAAGTGGACACTCGACGAACTGCAGGGTTTTGAACTCCCTGCCTGATGTGTATCTCCTTCTAAAATGTAACTACAAGTCAAAACGATGCAACCCCAAGCCATGTGATTGGACCACAGTATGGCATTGTATGATCTGCATTCACAACATTTCTGGTATCACTGCCATTTTAAAAATTCTGCAATAGGAAGCACGCTACAAGCTAGTACAGTAAACTGCTGCTCAATGTATCATCTCCAAATCCAACATAATACGCTTGGTTTTAGTGGCCATGGTTTCCTGCTCACAAACAAGCAGAGAATGTGTTGTAACCGACAACTAGCGATATAGAAATCAGACTGCCAACTAGCGTTTGTAGGAGGATTATTGCAGAGCTACGCATACACACCAAGGCACAAGTAAGTAGTGCTCACAAAAGTATAGGCCACTACAACGTAGCTGCAGTGTAGATTCAGGCAGAAGTATAAACCAGGCTTGAAGGTATTAATATGGCTCATCATGGCAGAAAACGTCTCCTTCTTTCAGTTGCATGTTTCAGCTGATTGTGTATCAACTTTCCACACCTTACAAGGTCCATGCTACAAACAACAGTTATAAATACAAATGTGTGCTTTTCACTTTGAGGAGGATAGCCAATCCAGCTGCTAGGATCTAAGATCGGACGCCATGCAGATTTAATCCAGCATTTCTTTCATCGTCTGAATATTTCCTGGCTCACTCAAAAGTAAAGAATCCACCCTTTTGATCCCTTTCAAATCCTTCATCTTTGTTCTTGTTCGGAAATTTACCAAAACATGACTTAGTTTTCCTCCCATTCTTCAACAATGTGCTTGTTTTTCGACACAGCAGCTCGGCTCTTTTCACCTCGTCTCCACTCGGATGATCTGTGGAATTCATGCGTACCATCTGGGCATCATTCCAGCAAGCTTCCTGACTGGCATCACACCTCTGTTTTCTGCCTCTCTGTCTGTTCCCACCTCCTCAGTCAGAGTCGTCTTCATCCTCTTCGTCTGTGCTCCGGCCCTCCGACTCTGAGGAGCTGGGGTCTTTGGTGCTGGCCTCTGAGATCATGCCGTCTGAACTGTCAATCTCTATGGACGTCTGTGACATGTAAAGATGTACGGCCCTTGACGGGTGGCTGAGACACACACACACACACACACACATAGAGGGGACAGGGAGACATGCACCAGACACGGTAAGAAAAATGTAGCACACACACACACACACACACACACACACACCAGGTAATGAATACATGGCACATTCATGAATTATTTATGGCCATGCATGTGCATAAGTCACAGACAATGGGGACAGGACAAAGACGGGCAGACAACACAAACACAGGAACAGGGACACAAGGTTAGCGTCACATAGGGTTAAATGGTCCAAATTGAGAGCGAAGGTTGGATCAATATTGCTGTTTACATCTGCATGTGATCAGGTTCTAATTGACGGCAAATGCAGTATTGTGAGCTTTTCCTTGAGAGGCTTGGCTTTAAAGTTTGGTGCGTACAAGGACCTTTAAAAGTGACCAGCTAAAGCGCCCAGTGCAGAGAGATCTGAAAACCCAAGAGAGAAAGAAAAGATGTCCCACACACCGGAAAAAAAACAAGTTGCATAGACAAAACAAGTCCATTGTTCAAAACAGACAATCAAGCATCCGAGATGCTGCTGGTTTTCTTTGAGATTTTCCACAGTTGCTGATCGATTCAATTAAGTGCTGGTTTCGTTTTTTTTCTCCAAAAGTACTAAATTAAATGTCTGTTTCCAACAAGTGCTCTGCATCAGGTTTGGTTATTTGATAGCACCTTGATTATTTCTCAATATGGGATTAATAACACCAAAGAATCTATTAAAAAATACAGCAATACTTCAGTAGTGAAACAAACAGAATTGTACACCAGAGTCTTCTTTGAGACAAGAAAAAAACAAACACATTAGAGGAGGATTGCACAGCTGATACATCATCGAATAGCTTTGTATTGGGTTTCATAATGTTTCCCATCATCTGTCCATTACACCGATGTTTCAATAGAAGCTCAGAAACTGCTCATTCATTGTTCCAGAGTTTCTATTGTTTGTTAAAATAATATATTCAACATTTGGTTTGCACTGTTATGCTGGGGCTCGACATGTATTAGTATAGAAGTATACAGCAGAAATACACCATTGTTCAACTTCTACATCTTAAAAAGATTTACTCTAAACAGGAAATGTGATTGGAAGCCCGTTTAGCTGAACAGGAACAGATCAAATGATAAAAAAAAAAAAGAAGTTGTTTCTCTGCAGAAAAGAAAGGCACTTGGTGACGTAAGAGATACACAGAAGTCTGGCTAAGAGCTTCATATCCACAGCTTTCTACACAAAGGCACATTCTTAATTTATCTCTGGTTAATGACAGCTGCCAATCAACTGGTCCAGACTTGGGATCCAAAGACTGTGGTCGGAGAAGAAGGTGAAAGTGAAGTGTCCAGAGAGCCCCCCGAAACTCAAGAAGAACCACCAGCAACCGGACCCCAGAGTTAGAAGGAAAGTGAGAGAGGAAGTGTGTAATTCTTCAGTTCCTCTCTCTATCCCCGTCTTCCTCTGCCTATGTCTTTTTCTCGCTCTTACCACGCAGTGGGGTCTTTTCTTTCTTTTTTTCGCGGAGCCTCCTCGTTGCCTTCCCGCTCTCTCTGGCTCTTCTTCTTGCACCTTCTGCAGGACAAAATGATGATGAGGAGGATGACCACAGCAGCGATGCCGCCCCCGATGGCCAATGCCAGAAGGACAAGGTCGGAAAAAGAAGCTGTGGGTGATAACAAAGAAATGCAGAGCTGTGTTGTTTTATCCAAAAGTGTTTTCATTTTAGACATGTTACAGGTGTGGCTCTAAGGATGGCAAATGAGCAGACAATGATGGTCCCCAAAGGATGACGATGACTTTGGTTATGCCTTAACCTTTCATCCACCACTATCGACATTTATGCTTTAAGAGAAATGTCTCAGACACTTTTCAGATGGGTGAGAACCAATACTCATGATACTTAGAGGATGAACCCTAAAAACTTTGTTAGCCTCACACCTTTCTCCTGCAACCAGCACGTTCCCATTTGTGGTTTCTGCGAGTGAAATGTTCAAACAACTACTGGTTGGTTCCACGACATTGTGCATGCCTGGGAATAAATCACACAGACGTGCCTCTTCCCGTAGTCCAGCAGTGAGTCTGACCTTTGCTTTTCCTGTGAAATATCTCAACTCTGGATTGGTTCAAATGTTCATGATTTCAAGACTATGTATCCTAATAACTTAAGATAAGATAAGATAATCCTTTATTTATCTCACAACGGGGAAATTTACAGTGTTACAGCAGCAAAGAGCAAAGTGCAAAGATTGCAAACAAACTTAGGCAACTTAGGCTAATATTTAAGGATTTGAGCAAAAGTCTTAATGACCATTGGATGGATTGTAATCAAAAGCTCAGCAGATTTATACGTAACAGTGCTTGTTTTTTCATTTAAAGCTGTCATCATGTCAAACTTTACAATTAGGCATTTGTTGATTGGATCAACCAAGAGTTGCATAGGCAGCGAGAGGTAGCGGCCACTTCCTTAAAGTAAAAGCACTTTGAGTGGTCAGAAGACTAGAAAAGCATTATACAAGTCCAGGTCCACAAACCATTTTACCTGTAACATATATGAACATGCTAAAACACACTACCAATCATGACCATATATCCCAAAGTAAATTTGCAATGACACCGTGAGCATGTTAGCATGCTAACATTTCGACTTAGCTTCAAGTATGCCTTTTCACACTGTGCTTGACGCAAGCATGTAGCAGTTGCTATAGCCTGTTGACATCCACATGATGATGTAGGCTACTGTGTGCAAAATATGTGTTTAAAAATGAAGCAGTTAATATTAAAACATTTGTTGTTCAACATTTATGACATGATCTGAAAGGTTTCAGGTGCCATTCATTGAAGCTGTAAAGAATGTAACCCAGTGGTACAACTTTGCACCAGTATACCAAGGAGCACAATACACCGGTGCATTAGGATAAATGGTCATGAGGGTGTTGGTGGAGTTGGTTGGCTATGGTGCAGGCTTTGTGCAGAATCACCGCACATGAAACCAGGTTTATGCACTGCTTCACAGGGCCAATAGCATAATATTGACTCTTACAGTATAACATTTTACTCATTTGGAAATTGCCAATTATAATAGATTTTTTTTAAGAAATAGGCATTTGCCATCATATTAATTTAGTTATTACTACAACTTTAAAGTTAAACCACATCATTTCAAGCAGTATTCCTTTCAAAAAATTTGAGTCCAGCTGTCGCTTCATTTTGATCCAGTCAATTACGCCCTCTTAAAATTTACCTTTCATTTCTTTCCTCCTCAGAGACACAGATGAAACCAGACTACATTTTAGGAACTTATTTGAAAGATATTTTGCCTGAACATCAGAAGTGCTGACCTGTGGTGACCACACGGAGTCGAATCTCTCCGACCGCTCCATGAACATCCGGCGGATTCTTCACCTGGCAGATGTAAGTGCCATTGTAGGTAAACTTGACCTGCTGAATAATGATGGAGGCGTCACGGCCCATGATGTCGCCAGCCCAAACGACACGCTTCCTGAAAATTCCCTCCGGAGGGGGATATGCTTTCTGCTGGAAGTGAAACACCTTAAGAAAAATAGAGAGTGTAGATTTAGTTGGAGCAGTAACGGGTGGTATTTGTTGGATTGTCACAGGTAGACTGCCAAACCATAATAAGGCTAGGGAAGGAAGGTAATGTATTCACACAGAGAAAGAAAGACAAGACAGAAACTCAGACCTGCTGCTCCTTTTCTTCTCTGTTCTCAATATGCAAACACACACACACACACACAGGCTGTCTTGTGCGCTCTATAGGGAGCCTGATGACTCACCGACTCCTCTCTTAGTTGGCTGAGGGGGTGGATGCTCCCTGACACAATGAGGAAAGTTGGAGGTTTGATCTCACTTTTCTTGCAAACGCAAACACACACACACACACACACACACACACACACACACACACACACACACACACTCACCGACTCTTCTCGGCCTGGTTTAAGAGGTCTGAAGGTCCAGGAGATGACGACTGTATTGTGGTTGATTGGAGAAGAAGACTGGAATGTGCACTTCAGACGAACATCCGTCCCATTTACTGCCTCCATCTCCCCAGATGTGTAGATACGCATCCCGCTGACCTGCAGCACCCCTGCAATACACAAACATAAGGAGTCAATTTGAAATGCTGGATACAGGACACACAGAGAAAAATCAATACATAAATAAATGGTTGGAAAGAGAGATACAAAATGCATACAAAAATACAATGCAACAAACACACTATGATTTTACCCTCATCAGTAAATCCCTGCTCAGTGAGTGCATGCTGTGTACCCAGTGACCCTACCTCTGCCTACGCAGTGCTGCAGCAAGAAAAATCTTTATTTCTAAGTTGTCAGAAGCACCACATAAGATACTGTGTATAAAGCATATAATCATATCCCACAAATTACAACATGAGGAAGTAGAATATTAAAGGGGACATAGTGTGAAAAATCCACTTGTACAGTGTTTTTGAACATAAACTTGAGTAACCTGAGTGTCTACTGACCCACAAAATGTGAAATAAACCCATCCAGTCCTTTGTTTGTGGTCTGCATAAGTCTTACAAGACAAAGAAAAATGCTCTGTTTCAAATTTGCTCAATTTGTGATGTCACAGTGGGATTCTGGTAAAAAAAAAGAAGAAAATCCCCTCCCCTCCCCTGATATCTGCTCCCATGGACTCCACCCCCAGCCTAGAACACAAATTTTGCGCGGGTCTGCCATTTTTATTCTCGCTACAGAGGAGTGATGTCTACGGTGAAAACTCAGGGGGGGCTCATTTAAAGAGACACACACACCAAAACGGAGCGTTCTGAGAGAGCTGGTTTATACAGGGTCACAAACCTCCTCTGGTGCTTGATTCATGTTATATTTTGACCAAAGCACAGCACAGATGTTTCATTTAGACCACAGGGGACAGTTTGAAAAGGTGGGGGATAATATCTCCACTTTAATGTTGGAATCAGTGAGTTGGTCTGTTTCACAACATGCTGAAAGAGCGCACTGATTTCAAATCAGTGGGCCAGATCTGTGACACATGATGAATAGTTGCCCCTTTAGCTGCACTGCTTTAGCTCAGACAGAGGGCTGGAAGTACACTATGCTGTATATTATATGGATATGTGCTATATCAATCGCTAAAGTACTCGCCGGACCTATTAAATGGACAATGAATGTACTGGAAGAGCGGAGAGGGATATTGGCACTTTGGCTCCTCAGCAAAATGATGGATGGCGCTCCCTAGAATGGAGTTTATACATACACTGCACACAGACACACAAGCCCTGGACAGAGACATGCTTGATGCTGAGTTCCTGTCTGGCAGCCAGTCAACATCACGTCAGGAACCAGACGATTACGTCTCCCACCGCAGAAGATTGCAGAAAGCTGTCTGTCAAGTTAGATCCGACCTTATTCAAAAGCAATCCGGTGAGTCTGTGTGAGCCCGAATCTCTGTGGAAGTCTGTGTGCAGGCTGTCTGTTTCAAATAACCTGGTCTATTTATAGAGTGAGCTCTATAGACCCTTACAATATAGGAAGTCTTATTAAAGTCCATGCCCAGGCACAAAGCACACCGTCTGTCTGCAGAGCTGGCAGCCACGCTGAGCGCAGGATGACAAAGAATTGACTTAACTTAACAAGCATTTTTCATTTGAGGATTCAGGGTTAGAGCTCTGACTGTCAGAGAAACTTTACAGACTTACATGTGCCATCTCAGGTTTCAGATTTATATACGAGGTAATTCAATTTTTGTTCACTCAATCAGCTAGCATCCTGGTTATGCTGTTGATTTTATGCAAAACTGAGAAGATGTATTCATCAGCCGTTGATTATTTAAAAGGGTTGCATGCTGCTGTGTTCAGTGGTTTAAAGTGTAGTTTAAGTGATTTAGATTTGTTCTATCCACTACACAGAAGTGAGGATAGGCAAGGAAGGAAAATTGGGCCATGTTGTTACCCTTGCATTATGAATACAGTGAGCATTAGAGCAGCAGCTAGCTGGGAAGTTGTCAGCAGGGGCTTGGCTCCTCAGGCTGTGTGTTCTGTTCCTTATCAGACTGGAGAGGGTTTCCTGTGGGCCGGGATGAGAGAGTGGGGTGACCAAATGGCCCCTGCACAGCATTAAACAGGCAGGCGTCTCTCTCATCGCACTCTTAACAGCCTAATGTGTTTTAAATGAGACTGATGAAACCTGGGAGGAGTGAGGAATACAAGCAAATCACATGGATATAGGTATGTATGCACCACAAAGAAGTATCCATCATGTTAAGTGTTGGGTCCTTTTGTTATGACTTGTTTTTGAATGAAATGGCATGTTCGTGCAGGGATATTGGTTTCCTTCAGGTACTTCAACTTGCATCAGTATATTTCTGCCGTTAAAGAAGATGAAGTCATCGACTGTATACAAAGCGAACATTGTCACTTGTGTTCAAAAGTGACGCCAATGCATAAATCCCTTAAAGCTACAAAATGTATTTAGTTTGGTGTGCTTTGGCGCACACTAAAGGTCTCTGTGTGCAACGGCATTGTTGTCAAGCACAGTGCTGTGATGCCTCCCCTGCTTAGACAAAGTGCATCTGTTGACATACAGATGGTGGAGACGCCAGCAAAGACGTTGTGAGAAACTAAATGGCCATGTTGACTGACAAGGTAAACAGTAAATGGTGAATGGACTTGAGCTTGTATAGCGCTTTTCTATTCTTCTGACTACTCAAATCGCTTTGACACCACAGGTCACACCAGCAGCAGAGGCTGCTATGTTAAGTAACCATCATATGTAACTAATCCCATTCACACACATCCATACACCATAGACAAAGCAGTGGGAGCAACTTGGGGTTAAGTGTCTTGCCCAAGGACACATCGTACATGTGGCTGCAGGAGCTGGGGATCGAACCCCCGATCTTCCGGTTGAGAGATGACTGCCTCAACCACGGCACATTAATATTACCGGACTCTGCCAGCGTCTACAGCCCTTTGTAAGCAAAATGTTTTGCATTCTGCATTCTTTATAATGACCAGCAGGGGGCAACTCCACTGGCGCAAACAGAAGCTCTTTTGTTTGAAAAGTGAGCTTCTATATTTCTTTCTCTAATATTTTCTACCTTCAGTAGAAATTTCCTAAAGCATGTATAGTATCAATCGCTACTTTCATGTCTTCTTCAAAACAACATGATAGAAATTTGGGAAATGATTGTCACATTTTGAGTAAATGCCAGGTTAAAGCAGGGCAAACATTTGGGCATATCTACCTTTAACAAGTCACATCAATGGTGTCTTGACAACTTAAATACAAAGGCTACAATGCAGGTTCACCCTTTACTTCAATCACTTCTGGTTTCAAAAATAACATAGCATTGGTCAAAATGCCAAATTTTTAAAGCAATCTATGGTTAAAAAAATGTCCAAGTCACTGTTTAAAGTTTTTTTTTTTTATTACAAAGTGGAAGAACTTCAAAAGGAACAAGCATCCTCTGTGACCTTCCTCCTGCTCCCTCCCCTACCTGATGGTGGAAACACTGAAGTCAGTGGATTAAACTGCCTGTGTGAGGGATATTCATTAGGCAGATAACATCAGCACTGGCTGTATCAGTCCAGCCAGTAATGACTGCCTCCCTGGCTCTCCTGCAACTCTGTGTGTGTGTGTGTGTGTGTGTGTGTGTGTGTGTGTGTGTGTGTGTGTGTGTGTGTGTGTGTGTGTGTGTGTGTATAACTGTGTGTGTGTGTGTGTGTGTATAACTGTGTGTGTGAGGAGAAGAGGAAGAGTCTGGGCCACCACTCAAAGGTCACATACTCCATGTGAAGTTTGACAAAGAGAAGGAGGAGGGGAACGTGGAGTCAAAGCAGAGAGTTTTAGTTTTACAGAAATGACAAAAAATCCTGTCAACAAGAGCTGACAAGTTTTATTTTAGGAACGCCATGTTTTGTATTGTAGCAGTGTAAGGAAACATGGATTTGGTGCACAGGGTTTGATGTGGAACAATGAAATCTGTCAGAGAGACATTCATGGTCTGACTCTTGTTGTGTTGCACCACTGCAGCTGATGTTTCATGGATGATAAATGTGAAATTTTCAATGAAAAATATCAGAAATTTGGGTCTCAAATTTCTCAAGAGTTGGTGGTAGGGGCTGAGGCTAAACCAGTTGAGAACCAGTGCCATGGCGACTGAAACCAAGCGTTTTATGTTGGAGTTATAGTAGTAGTATATAGTATTGTTACGCTGATAAATAGCGTTCTAGCGTTGTTCCAGAATGTAATCTAGTATTAGACTTCCATCCATCCATTAGCTTTTTCTGTTCGGGGTCGCAAATGATTGACTATCAATGAGCCACACCCTGGACTTTTCACCAGTCAATCACAGTCAATCACATAGAGACAGACAACCAGCCACACTCACATTCAAACCTACGGACAATTCAGAGTCACCAGTTAACCTAAAGAGAATGTCTTTAGACTGTGGGAGGAAGGCTACAGAGTATCCAGAGAGACCCCACACATGCACAGAGAGCACATGCAAACTCCACACAGAGAGGCTCCTGTCAGATGGGGATTCAAACCAGGAACCTCCTCGCTGTGAAGCAACAGGGCTAACCACTGCACCACCGTACAGCTGCTTTTTGTGTGCACTATGAGCGGAGCGCAGCCATGAGCAGCTGTACACACATCACAGGAGAACTACAAGATGACGCTGGAATAAAGAGAAAAATGTGCAAACATCATGTTACTTTGTCTTTCTGTGGATGGTTTGTTGTTCTTTCGGTTCCTTTTTTGATGTAATGTTGATAAATTGATGGAAAATATAATTGCAAGTTTGTATATAGTGTTTTATTTTAAAAATGACCAGATGCTTTCCTTGTCTGACTTCCTGTCCAGCTTGACGCATGGCAGCAGCATCAGAGACGGGCCGTGGCGCTCACTGTGGAAATGAATGACTAGAGTGGCAGCAAGTATGGGTGGCACTGAGGGACGCGTAGTATGTGGAAACTGGGGGTTAGGCTAAATGCAATAGTGCCTTCTAGAGCAGCTTCCATATCTCTGCTCTCTCAGTTTGTTTGTTTGTTAAAGGGAAGGAATAAATCTCTGGAAGCACAGTTATTACACATCA